CCAGTCCTCCTGGTCCTCTTTCTGCTGAGCTCAGTGAGAGCCAGCCCAGGCTGGAGGACAAGGGGGGGCGGCAGATAAGAGCCTCCCCCATCCCTGCCCCAGCGGAGGGGCAGGACGTGGGATTTAGTCTGGGAGGAGGTTCTGCTCCAGTTCTGGGCCTCATCAATCTTCAAGAGAACAAATGAAGTGAGGGTGGAGGTGGGTAGGAAAGTTTGGGATTAGCTCACGAAAACGCAGACATTTGTGTACTTGAATTAATGAGGGCCAATCCGGCACTGATTCTCTGTGTCCTGAACTTGCCAGAAGTTACAGCTTAAAAGGCCAGGAATTTAAGGGCAGCTTGAAGGAACTTCAGTTTAAAGATTAACCTGAAGGTTACAGGAAGAGTTTCTGAGCATAGCTTGAACAGGCCAGGCAGAAGGTAAGACACAGTTGACGTGAGTTATGTAGCGCAGGGGAGCTTTTATAAATCAGGGTCAACACTTTGATTTTGATGTTGTTTTAACCTAGGCAGGGATCCCCAAACTTAATTGTTATGTCACCCACTTTTCAGAAAACAAACCAAAAACCAAAACTGAGTGTTCCTTTTGAAATCTGTTGTCTTTTAGTGAATAAAGAGAAAATGCCCCTCAGTCCCACCTGATGTTCGAACTTCAGGTGCCTGTCATTCCTGTGCAGTGTCCCCCACCCTCATGCAGGGGTGTTTACCACCCGCTTTGCAAAAGACAGCTTAAAGGGCTGGAGAGACTGTGCAGGAGTTTGCCTTCTATGCACAGAGCCAGGAAGAGTAGCCCCTGAACACAGCCAGGTGTGGCTATTTTGCCATCCTCACCTCTACCCCTGGATCTCCTCCCCCCCCCAAAAAAAAGATGCTTGAGAGGACCAAACGATTATTTAAAAAATATATATATATATATATTGGATTGTGACTTGGCTGGAGATGCCTGCCTTCCTCCAGGCTGGAATGTGGACTTGATGAAGTGACAGCTGGGTGGGACTCCCAGAGTACGTTCAGGCGCAGCCCAGAGCCAGGGGCAGGAATCAGGGGTGAAAGCCCTGCCCTGCAGGCATCAGACCCGAGGTCAGTCCCTGGCACAGCAAAACAATGATACATAAGTAAAGGTAAAGGCCCTCCCGTTGATCGTCGATTTGCTCGAGCGGGCCCAGTAACATCTCCATTGGAGACTTTGTTGTTACTGTGTCTGGCCCAGTAACGTCTCCATTGGAGACTTTGTTGTTACTGTGTCTGGCATATCGAATACTCTCGGTAGCTTGCCGGGCTCTCCGAGAGGGGCGGAGGAATCGAACTCGGGTCGGCCATGTTGGCCGCTTGTAAGGCAAACGCCCTACCCGCTATGCTATCGCTCCAGCCATACATAAGTAAATTAGTTAAATCTCAGTCCTCGGAGAGAAAGGGCTGAGTCCCTTTCTGAGTAGAAAACCCAGCCTGGGGTCCCCTGTTCTCTGCACGGGCCCCTAGTCACTCTTGGCCAAGGTGCCCCCTGAGCACCCAGGCCAGAGGGGATTCCTCTGTGTTAGGACAGTGTCAGAAGTGGGACTTTAATCCTGCCAGGCTCCCAAGCGGCCAACTCCCCCACAGTGGCGGTGTGTGTGTGTGTGTGTGTGTGTGTGTGTGTGTGTGTGTATGGGGGGGCATGGTCTCCGAGGTGCAGTTATTTTTCCCTTTCCAAGTGCTTTGGACTCACACCTCAGTCCCCATTACCTAATTCTGAGGGGGACCGCCTGCCTATCCCACACACATTAGGCCAATTGTCCACTAGCCTATTCCAGTCTCACCAAAGATTGAAACGTCTTTTCAAAAACTAGCTCCTAGAGGCGAACAGATGGCGTCTGCTTCACCTGTGTTCTGGGAACTGGTCCACGGAGTCACATGGGAGGGTCCCTTTGTGACAATCCACATCAGCAGACATGGCTGGGGACTTGGATACGAAAGATAGGATTTCAAATACCCCTTGGGCATAGACTTTCCTTGCAGCTTCCTCCTCGGGCAAGCCACGGCCTGAAAATCCTGAGTGCTGCTTCTAGCCCCACTGTGGAACTCCTAGAACCCACACCCTGCATTCCCCATGGCCCTTCAGGCCTGTACCCCTCGGGCATTTTTCTTTCTAGGCAGCTGCACCTCCTGCCTTGGTTGGCATTTGGGGGGCCTGCAAAATGCACCCTGAGTTCAGATAGCTGAGGCAAGAGTGGGCATGTGTTGTTAAGTGAAATGAGTCAGAAAGAGAGGGACAGACATAGAAAGATTGCACTCATCTGTAGAATATAAAGTAACGGAATGGGAGACTAACACCCAAGAATAGTTGAGATAAGGACCAGGAGGTTTACCCCATGGTGTTTGGAGGTCCCGCTCGGGATGGGAGTTGTGTGCGGAATGTAGACTATAGACCGAACACAATGGCCACTCACTCATTGCCTCTATTGCAGACACCCAAAAGGAAAGAGAGAACAAAAGGGAATTCCCTGCCACAGAGGCGGGGTCGGAGGGGAGAGGGGTGGGGGTAGTGGGAGGGATACTGGGACCATTGGTGGTGGAAAATGGACACTGGTGGAGGGATGGGTACTGATGACTGAAATGCAAGCACAAAAGTTTATAAGTTTGTAACTGTACCTCACAGTGATTCACTAATTAAAAAAAAAGGTGGGCATGTATAGTAGGTATCAATGAGGGCAGATGGATTGGGGGGGGTTCAGGATGGGGGCCCAGAGGCACATCGACAGTCGGGTGAGCACAGGACAGAGGCCTTGATGGAGCTTCCTGCCATGGCGCTGTGGCACTTGTCTAGAAGTAGGGACTATAGAGCTTAAGGCGCACCCACTTCTCTCTGGAGAAACTCTCACCTTTCTCCGCCCTCCCTCTCTCCTCCCAGGGCTCAGCCTGCTGCTCCAGCTTGCCCGTCTTGTGGACCCCTCATGGTCCCACACATGCGCCATGGATTCTGGGCAGCCATATCTGTTGACACCCACTTTCTATCTCTTCTCTTCCTGTTCCCCAAGGGGCCACTACCCGCCTCCCCCATCCGCAACCCTCCATGCCCCACACTGTGTGCTGGGAACTGTTTGCCCTGGTGTAGACAAAGGGCTAAAGATTCCAAGAAGCCCCAACACTGCCCCCCTGTAGAAGATGATTGGGTCGATACTGTTTTGTTTTTTTTTCCTTTCAAAATAGATTTTCATTAGATTATACCGCTACGGTGTTTCTAGTGGGTGGTGATGTAACACCTCTGTACAAGAATCAGAGTCATGGGCTGGAGCATAGTACAGCTGGTAGGGCAGTTGTCTTGTAAGCAGCCAACCTGGATTTGATTCCCAGCATCCCATATGGTCCCCTGAGCACCGCCAGGAGTAATTCCTGAGTGCAAAGCCAGGAGTTACCCCTGTGCATTGCTGGGTGTGACCCAAAAAGCAAAAAAAAAAAAAAGAATCAGTCACTTGACCCCAGGCCTAAGCGACATACCACCCCACCTCCAAACCCTGTTCTGCTCTCACCTGCCCCCCTGTATGTCTGGGAAGCAGCATCATTTTGACCTAGCCTAAGAGTTAGTTTCCTTTCGTGTGTGTTGACAGGTATTTTTTTTTTTGCTTTAGTTATTCATATTCTACAGAGGAGTGAACTGTGTGGTAATTTTCTTGGTCCAGAATGAAACAATATCATCTCTCCACCAATACAGTAGTATTCCACAGAGTCAGTATTGCACAACTTCTTTATTCTGTCATTCATTGATGGGCGTTTAAGTCATTTTCAGACCTTGGCAGTTGTGAATATGCTCCTGTGAACATCGAGAAGCCGGCAACTTTTGTGAGTTAGTGTGTTCCTACCCAGTGTGGTTGTTGCTCTTGTTTGGGGGCCACACCCAGCAGTGCTAAGGCATTATTTCTGGTGCTGTGCTTGGAGGTTGCTTCTGGTGGTGCTCAGGGACCACTTGGTACCAGGAATGGAATCCATATCTCCTGAGTGCAGTGCAGGGCTCAGCCCAGTGAACCATCTCTCAGGACCTCTATCCAGTATCCTTTGGTATGTGGCTCCAACTGGGAGTGTAGGAACATTGGAAATTTACATCTTTTCGTTGCTGTTTAATTTCCAGCCACTTTTCATCAGAGCTGTACTAGTTTACATTCCCAAATAGCCCTGTACCAGGTTCATTTTTCTCAACACCCTTGCCAACATTTGTTTTTAATCTTTTTGTTATGTTATTCTCATGGCTGTGAAGTGATGGTTCACTGTGGTTTTGGTTTGCCTTTCCATAGTTAGTAACACTGATCAATTTCCACCCCCCCCAGGTCTTTGGAGAAGTGTCTGTTTAGGCCAGGTTTCGCCCCCACCCCCCACCCTGCCATTTTGTTTGATTTTTTGGTTGTTGTTGCTAAGTTGTGTGAGTTCTTTATATTTGTTGTGTGGGTTTTATACTTCACACAGCCCCGAGACATTTTAAGTATTTGCAGAGCTTGGTGCTTTACTAGAAGGGAACCCTTATATCCAAACAACTTTAATTGATGCCAGTGACAATTTAATGAGGCCTGAGAGGAAGTCTCAAACAAGAAAAATCCTTGGTTGCAGCTAATAACGCTTTTGCTTTTTTGTTTTGTACTGGCACCCCACCTAGTGGTGCTCAGGGCTTACTCCTGGCTCTGCTCAGGGTTCACTCCTGTCAGAGCCCAGAGGACCATATGTGGTAGCGGGGATTGATCCTGCGTTAGCTGCTTACTAGGTAAGAGCCTTAACCCCTGTACTATCTCTCTGCTCCTACTTTTATATTTAAGAAAGTCCCATTCTAGCCATTCAAAAACACCTTCTATTTTCAGATAGTCTGCGTGACCTAAACTATCTTTCATTCTAATGAACTCTGTTACCATGTGGGCATCAGAAACAGTTTCCAGCACCTGGCAGAAAGTTTCGGAAAGGAGATCCTAAATAATGATGTAGGTTCATTAGTGTCACTAGGCCTTGTCCCTAATCTGTTTTTTTTTCCCCTGTGTTGCAGGTGATTTTCAAAGCCAAGTCAAAATATTCTCCAGAATTACTCAAGTACCGGTAAGTCATCCCTGGCAGGGTGTGATGGGGAGAGGCTCACCCAGGAGCCTGTTTCTCCAGCTGGGTTTGGCCCAGATGTCCCCTCTGTGAATGGCCCCCACTGTCCTGCTCACTGTTCATATCCTGATCCATACCTCCCTGGAGGCCGTGCTCGCCACAGTAGGTTCACCCGGGAGCCTGATCCCCGTGCCGGCCCCCTGAGCCCAGAGATTACTCCAGCGGTGGGGAGTTCAGTGTGATGGGTGGTCATGGGGTATGTTCTTTAGAAACACTCAGACTGACCCAGATCCAGCCGAATTCTTTGGAAAGATCTCCTTGGATCTAAAAAGTGATTCATAGCTTGGGCAGCATGCAGTCTAAGTGAGTCTGCAAAGAATGGCATGACATGGGAGGTTTGGGGTCTGGAGAAATGATGCAGCTGGTAAGGCACTTGCCTTTCATATGACACTCCCAGGATTCGTTCCTGGGACCCTGTATGGTCCTGGAGCCTGGCCAGCAGAGATCCCTGAGCTCTAGGGCCAGGAATAAGCTCTGAGCACAACTGGGTGTGGCCCCAAAACAAACAAAGTGAAGTAAAAGGTTTTTACAATTGGGAAACAGGGGTAGGAAGGGAAACCAAACTACTTTCCCTCCGAGGAGGGTGAATACCTGGCTAATGTGACCAGGAAATTGTAGACTGTTGGGTTTCAAATTCCACTTTGGGGAGAGGCAAAGACTAGGGTTAGGCATTGTCTTGGTAGGACTTGGCCTGAAGAACTCCATTTTGGACCTTCTTTTTCAAACGGTAACAATAGCAAAGTGTTGCTAAGTGTTGACATCTTTTACCATTGTCCTTAGAGTCAACACCCTACCTCACCACTTACTTGGGCCTACAGCCTATTTACCTAGTTCAGAAATAAGGGCCCTGTGCCTCTCTACATGGAGCTGGGTGAGAGATGAGTGGAGTGAGATACGGGTGGAAAGTTGTGGAGGCATTTGAGAAACTAAGGCCCGCAGCCTGCTGCCATCTGGGTCCTGGTGCATCGCCCCAGCCCCGCTCCTTCACCTTCTGCCTCGAGGCCTCACCTATCTGCTGCCCACAGCTGCAATGCTGTTTTCTAGAACTTTGCGGTCTATTAGACAGTCCCACAGTTCCTCCACAGCTGCTTTCTTGACTCTTCTCCAAGTCCAGCAGATCTGACTCTTTATACCTCCTGGGCACCCTGAGGTCTGTGGGTGTCCTTGAGGGACATGTGCTTTGTCTGTCATGATGCCTGCACACACCCAGCCCTTGGCAAGAGGAGCGAATTGGTTGCTGGGCAGCTGTGACCAACCTACCCCCTTCCTTGACCCCTAGTCTGAAGCTCTGCCTCCTGCCCCCGTTTATATGGTTCACACCTGCTCCCTTGGACCATTCTGCTGGGCCATATGGCTCCTGCTTCATAATGCTTTTTTGTTTCTTTGTTTTGTTTTGTTTGAGGGCCATACTTGGCAGTGCTCACGGTTTCCTCTTGGTTTTGTTTAGGGATCACTTCTGGCAGAACTTGTGGGACTGTATGCAATGGCGGGGATTGAACCCAGGTCACCCGCTTGCAAGGGAATCTCCTTAACCACTGTCTTGTGTCTTTGTCCCCTAAGAAATGCTGGTTTGAGTCCAAGTCCCAGTGTCCCAGTGAACAGCTCCGGTCCATGTCTAACTGTCGTCTTTCTCTTACCTCTATAACCTCTGCCCTTAGTTTCTTGATTATAAATGTGTGTCAGCTAGGGGAATGTAAGAGCTAGAGAGGAGACAAAAACGGAGTGAAGGTGGTGGCGGCGGAAGAATATTCTTGTTGTCTTGTAGAGCCAATCAGATCTCAGAAATGGTTGCATGACTCCACTTCAAGGAAGCATGTTTTATGGGGGCTAGAATGATAGGACAGCAGGTACTTGCTTTCACAGGGCCGACCTGGGTTCAATTCCCAGCATCACATATGGGTATCCTGAGCCATGCCAGGAGTGATCCTTAGCACAGAACCATGAATAAGCCTTGAATACCCCAGGATGTAGTGTCCCCCCCTCAAAAAAAATAAAATAAAATAAAATAAAAGTGCGATATGAAAACCTGGATCACCAAGACTGTTTGATATGTGGAACCTCTGAGCATTTGAGGGAGAGGGTCTTGCAGGTGAGAAGATGTGAAAATGGGGTGTGGTCCCTGATTCTTGAACTCAATCTCAGTTCACTGGAGATAATGCTGGTGTATGCGACTGTTTTTATTGAGAGGGGATTTGTGGGAGAAGGGAGAAGAGGTTCAGTTATGAAGGTGAGTTGCTCAGGTCAGAGAAAGGCAGTTTCCTGAAACCAGGAGGCTTCTATGGAAGGAGTCTGTTCATTCACATCTGAGGGCTTAGTAGCCCAGTGGAGGGAGATCCTGAGAGTTACCTGTGTTTAGGCACATGTTCGGTCTCCTCTGTTTAATTCCACATTTCTCTTAAAGCAGATGCCGCAGTAGACATTTCAGGTCATCATTTATTCCTTGAGATGCTTTGATAGTTTGGCTTCTAAATAGACTGGCTTCCCTAGTTCAGGCACCACTCATTTGAACTGACATGCAACCCATCACTCTCAACTTGTTTAAATATTTCATGCTGAGCTACTCCTATAGCAGTTCAGTATCTTTGAAGATAATTCATGTCAAACCCAGCCAAGAAGCACTTTAGTTTTTGACTCAGTGACCCCCTTTCATTAACAGCAGCTGTGCTTAAATTTTTATGGAATTGGTACCCTTTTGATTTTCTTCCTGTTGCTCTTTTTTTTTCTTTCTTATTTGATCTGTTTCATTGTGCATATGTACACTGTACCCTGAGCCATATCCCTGACCTGGTTAGCACTGGGCATGCTTAAGAGTGCTGTGATCAGGGCCAGAGAGATAGGACAACAGGGATGGCATTTGCCTTGCATACAGACAACCCAAGTTTGATCATTAGCACTACATATGGTCCCCTGAGCTTAGATGGAAGTGACCTTTGAACACAGAACAAGAAGTAAGCTCTGAGCACTGCTGTATATGCCCCCCCCCCCCAAATACTATCACTTTAAAATTTTTTGGTTCTTTTCCGTCCCTAATATACAAGATAAAATCAACCAAATTTTTCTTTTGGCCTTATTTAAGAAACATAAACAAGTCTTTATATTCTTTACAACTTTTCCTTCATGATAGGAGGTGGTCAAGTACTGCCATGTTGGATTTGCTGCCGGTCCTCTGGTCCTTCCTGCCTTGAGTCCTTCACTTATGTCCTCCTGTCCAGAACGTCTGTCCTAAGACCAAGAGCATCAGGAGTTGGTGGTGTGGGGCGGGGTCTTGCTTGGTCTTTGTTTTCTCTTTTGTGCTTGCTGATCACTCATTCTTCTGGTCTCACCTGCAAATTCATCTGCCCAGGTGCCAGACAGCCGCCTGGTTTTCTTTTTCCTTTGTTGTTTTTGCTCACTCCTGGCTCTCTCTCATCCTCGCCCTGTGGTTTGGGTTGCGTAGCTTTGGGGCAGTGTATGAAGCATCATTCTCATTGAAACACACCCTGTAATCGGCTCTTTTTCTGTGTTGCCCCCACCCCCGATCCCACACATGCACCTTTAAAGCTTTCTGTTTCTCTAAATTTTCTTTTCCCAAGCTTCAGACCAAGGAGAATGATTAAGTTTAGCACGTGTTATTTTCCCCATTGCCAACATTTTCTATGCATACTGGAAGCAAATTGTAAAATACAGGGCAGGAGGTGGGGGGTTTCAATCCCCCCCAGCACTACTGCACGGACTCCCACCCCACCCCTAATACCAGTGTAAAGCAAGCAGATTGTATCAAACTTAGCTCTTGCCCCCAACTCAAAGGGAAAAAAATCTGTTCCATTGTTCCATTTTCTAAGACAAAATTGATATGTAAAAGTTTTTGTTATGGTGGTGGCGGGCCACTCCCAGCAGTGATTTGTGGTGCCAGGGTCACACTGGGTGTTTCTCTGTGGTATAGTCAAACCCAGGGTCTCAGTCATGCCAGGTATGTGTTTTGTTGCTTGAATCACATCGCTGGCCCTGAGTTGACGTTGCTGTATTTCTAATTTTGTTTTTTGGCTTTTCTCCTTATTGTGGGTTTGGTTCATTACATTTTCCTCCCCATTTCTCTGCCCTCCCCTCAAGCCAGGTTTTCCAGGGACAAGTTTAGACGGAGGAAAATGAGGGGTGCTCAGGCCTGAAAAAGGGGAAAGCTCCAGGAAGACTGGACAAGGTGGTGGCTGAGACAGTGGAGCAGCCAGAGTGAGGCCGAGTGAGCAGCTCTGAGTGCTGGGCAGCTGCCCTGGCACGCACAAGAGCCAAGGTTTCCTACAACAGCCGCTCTGGAAGCAAGACAGATATTCTATGAGCATGGCAAGATGTCAGGCTCTCGGTCTCTGTCTCGTCCTCTGTAGTCTCTGGGTCCCAAGGAAAGAGTGAACTTGGAGGTTTGTCATCACTGTGTGACAGTGTGGAATAGGCAAGGACAACTGGAGCCATGCGGTCTGCGAGGCCAGGGGCCAGTTCTCTTCTGGTACTTTCCTGATCCATCCTCTAGCCATCGTTTACGACTTTTTATTTTTTTGCTTTAAAATCACTCTTTAAACAATGAACCAAAACTTAACAGTGTTAAGAGTTCATGCCCTTTATTAACCGATATAGGTAAATTATTTGTCTTCTGGTTTGTTGAAACAGTATGTCAGACAACATTTGCCACAATAATGTCTGTCAAAGTGGCTGGCCATAAAAACTCCAGCACCACATTCATCTGAAGGGCATTCCCGGCAAAGGTGGCTGATTTTGCCATTCTCATCCACCTTGTAGTATTTTAGGACAGCCAGTTTAACCTTTTCTCTTATGCTTATTCTTCTTTGGAGTGGTGTAAAACTTCTTCTTCCTTTTCTTTGCACCACCCTGAAGTCTCAAAATGAACTGAAGAGTGGACTTCTTTTGGATGTTGTAGTCAGACAAAGTATGTCCATCTTCAAGTTGTTTACCAG